CCCCCCCTCCCAACAAACCTCCTCCCTCCCCTCCTCGTCTCCTCCCTCCCCTCCCTTCCTCCTCCCCTCCCCACACCTCCCAACCCCCTCCCGGTCTCCTCCTCCTCCTCCCTCTCTCCTCCTCCTCCTCCTCCTCCTTTGCCTTTCCTCTCTACCTCGTGAAGTTTAGTGATGAGTGTGCGCGTGACTTGGTCAGTCTCCGCAGGGATCGGCCATGGGATGTTGTAACCAGCGTCATCTGAGTGCTTCCACCACTGTCGTCCTGCCGCAATGTCACTCCTCCCCTCCCCTCCTCCCTCCCCCCGTCCTGCCTCCTGCCTCCTTCCTCCTGACCTCCCCCCCCCCCCCGCCTTCTCAAACCCTGCCTTCCCTTCTACCCCCCCTTCCTCCTCCAAATCCTTGTCCTTGGTCTCGTCCTCGACCTCCTAAGCAGCATGGGGCCTCACCGTCAGGGATGGGAACCTCAACGTGGTAGTGGATGATGGAGGTGAAAATCTCCTTGTGCACTCGAGGGACGTTCTGCAGGTCCCAGATCTCGTGCCGGATCCCCAGCTCGGCAGCAGCAAACACGTAGCCGAACATCTCGGCAGTCCAGGTCAGGCCGACGGGGCTCATGCTGGTGTTGTACCAGCTGATCGGCCAGTTGGGCTTGTCGATGCGGATCTCGCGGGTCTTCTTGAGCCACAAGGGGGCGATCCTGGCGATGTCATGGCGGTGGATGATGATGGGGACGGCGATGGGATCGAGGAAGGAGCAGTTCCTGCAGTACCGCCGAGCGATCTGCATGGGGACATCGTCGGTGCTGAAGTCGAAGTGATAGAAGGCCTGCTGGGCGACCGGCGCCCCCTCCTCCACCATGAACTCCATCCTGCTGAGGAACATGCAGTCCGGGTCGACGATGAGGATTACATCCTCCGTGGGCTCCGCGTCCTGAAGCCAGCGGTGGATGGCCCAGGGCTTGTTGTAGGGCGTGTAGTGGTCATTGGGGTCGTCGCTCTTGTAGGGGGGAGACGTGTGCGTTGGGATCTCTCCAGCAAGGAAGTCTGGCTGGTTGGCAGAGAGCAGGCGGGTGATCTTGCCGGGCATGTTGGCCTGCTTGAACCAGAAGTGCATGTACCTGACTTGCCACTCGAAGTACTTGGACGCCTGCACGTTGTAGACCGTGTGGAAGGTGCGGGAGGTGGTGGACCCTCCCTTACTGAAGCCGCATCCGCACAGCCTCTTTGTCTTCTCGTGCTTGCCCCCGCAGGAGCTCGAGTACGTTCGCGGCTTCTTGTTCACGAGGACGGTCAGGTCCTCGGGCCGGTAGGCCGGCAGGTCCCGCCCGTAGAAGTCTGTGCTGCAGATCTTGTGGGAGGGGAAGGCGACGGCCAGGGCTTCACAGTTGTTGAGCACGTCGAACCAGATTCGCTGGCACGCCAGGTTCTGCTCCTGGCAGGCGGTGAAGCAGCTAACGCCCTGGTTCGCTTCCAGGAACGTCGTCCTCTTCTTCTCGATGTCCTCGATCAGAGACTGCGCCGACCTCTCTGCCCACCACTCGTTCGCCTGCCCCGCAGCCTGCTGGCCTCCCGCTAGCCTCTTGTCGAACTGCTGCAGCTGCTTGATCACGATCCGCGACACCCGAGACTGAAGGTCCCTCCCTCCTGTTCCGCTGCGCTTGCATGCGCACAGCCTCGCGCTGTGCTCGCCCTGTGCGTCGCAGGAGATGTCATACTCTTGCGGCTTCGAGTTCACGAGGACGTAGTCCCCACGAGCGTAGCCGCCCACGTCCGAGCTGAGCGCCGGGAGGTCGCGGCCGTAGAAGTGAGACAAGCAGGTGGCCGCGTGAGGGAAGGCGACCTGGAGCAGGTCACAGCGGTTGAGGAGGTCGAACCAGGGCGAGGAGCACTGCCACTCCTCTCCGTTCTCAGCGCAGGCCTCGTGGCAATTCTGATCGAAGGCAGAGGTGACAAAGACGAGGTCGTTGGAGGATAGCTCCGACAGGGAGGGAGTGAGCGTGAGGTTCGCGTTGGGGTGGAGGAGGAGGAGCCTGTGCTTCAGCGCTGCCGTCATGGCAGCCCAGAACTTCCTTCTGACGGTCACATCGCTCTTGCGGGCAAGGACGACCTTGGAATCCCCAGCAATGAGGTCCAGCTCAGCCGACTCGATCGAGGAGTTGGGGGAGCTCAGGTCTCGTATCAGCAGCCGCTGGACGTCAGCTGGGCTCTTGCTCGAGGCGCTTGCTGAAGCTGGGTGGGAGCGAGAAAAGAATAAACTTGGAAGGGAAGAGCCGAGCAGCACGACTATACACAGGCAGAGGAAGGAGAGAAACAGGGAGGAGGAGGAGGAACGCCTCTTCCCATGCCCTTGACCGGGCAGGTGGGTCGGAGTTGAAGCAAACGCCTGCACCACCGCAAGGAGGCTCCCTGAGATTCTCTTCTGCCACGTCAGATGGCTTTCAAACTCCCTCTTCGTCCTTCGGGACGACTCCACCTTGTCCTTCCTTGGAGGAAGCATACTCACCTGCAGTCTCGAGCACCCGAAACAATCCCAGCCTCTGTCCTAGGAGTTAAACTACATCACGAGCTGCTGCTGCACCATCGACCAGTGAGATTGCTCGAGCCCTTGTGATCAGCTCTTCGAGAATCATCTCCAAACATCTCCATCGGCACCCGCGCGAGAGTCTGACTTGTTCCAACCTCGCACCCTCATCGCTGTTTCACCTTCACCTGATGAGGAGGCGTCATGTTCCATACAGCACTTCTTCCATCCATGAATGAAGCAGATCTCTTGCCTGTGCTCGGTCTCTTCTTCTCCGACCATTCTTTCCTCCTCACCCATCTATCCATGAAACATCCTCTCCCGCCCTCCTCTCCTTGTTTTCTCCTGCTCCTCTCCTCTCCTGTCTTTTTGTCGTGATTCTTCCTCTTTGTACCTCGTCAGGTTTTCTTTCCTTTGCTTCGCTCTGACTTCAGTTCTGATATCTTCTCTTGTTCATTATCCTCTCCTCTCCTCTCCTCTCCTCTCCTGACGTCAATTGTTCACCTCCTCCCACCTGATCGCACCATCCAACTATCACCACTGTACACCTTCCCTTCGTTTGAACCCCCACTCCTGCTCCTGCTCCTGCTCCTGCTCCTCCTGCTCCTCCTGCTCCTCCTGCTCCTCCTGCTCCTCCTGCTCGTCCTCCTCCTCTCTTCGTTTCCTCGCTCCATTTCGCATCTCGTCATGATCGGATTCTTCACCAGCTGTACGTACCCCCCTCCCAATCGTGCGCCAAGAAGGAAATTGAGGGGGTGGGGGTGGAGCTACAGGAGGGTTGGGTAGAACACCCCACCCATACTGGAGCTCTCCTGGGAACAAGAGGGGTGGTATACACTGGAATTACCTACGACTCAAAAACTAGGGTAGGGTACTTTACCAGGGGTTCATTGAGAGGGTAAAGCAGGGGTATAAATTGAATGCTTTGGTCTAATGAAGAGGGGAGATCGGGGGTGGGGGTGGGGTAGGCGGCCTCCTGGCATGGCGCACATAGCACTGTTCATGGCGCTCATGGCGGGACATGCGCAGGCATGGGACCCCAGCGCCCTGCCGCTCCCGCCCTCACCCTCCCCAAGGACTCCTGCATTCGCTCCCTCCTTGCAGACCAGCCCATCCTCCTCCTTCAGGACATCGGCTTCCTCGAAAGGACCGTTTTGCTCCCTCTCCTCCTTCTCCGCTTCTCCCTCTGCTTCCTCTGCCTCATCCAAAGGTCGCTTCTCTTCCCCATCCCCGAAGTTTCATTTCAACATGCCTCATGGCCTGTGGGGAGGATTCGGGGCTGGGGTTGCACGTCCGTTGTCGGCAGGGAACCAGTTGCTAGTAAGGAGGAGAAGGGCAGGGTTGTCGAACGGAATGATGGTGGAGGAACGATCGCATCCGGACATCAACGTGTTCGAAGAAGCTTGCGAACAAGGAGAGCATAACTTTCGCAAGGTTGTGATGGAGGTCGACATCGATGGGAACAAGCTGCGGCTGGAGAGCGGGGAAGTCGGCAGGCTTGCAGCAGGGGCCGTTATGGCGAAGCAAAGGGACTCGATCGTTTACTCGACGGCCTGCGGAGACCTCAACCTGGACAAGGAGGAAGTAGTGGAAGACTTCGTCCCTCTCTCCGTCCATTACCAAGAGCGTTCGTCCGCAGCAGGGAAGACGAGCGGAGGTTACATCAAGAGGGACGGAAGGCCCTCGGACGAGGAGGTTCTAACTGCGAGGATCATTGACCGTACTCTCCGTCCTCTCTTCCCTCCTGGCTTCTGCAGAGAAGTCCAGGTCCTCTCCTGGGTCCTTGCCTACGACCCGCAAGCCAACGTCGACCCGCTGGCGCTGATTTCGTCGTCAGCCGCGCTGCTGGCCAGTCCGATCCCTTTCGACACGCCAGTGGCAGGCGTGTGCATCGGGATGGACGCCAAGGGCAAGTTTGTGATCAACCCGACGAGAGAAGCGCTCAAGACCTCCCGCCTGAACCTCTTCGTGTCCGGGACCGAGGAGTCGGTCATGATGATCGAGGGCGCCGCCGACTTCTTGAGCGACGAGCAGATGGTGGAGGCGATCGAGCTGGGAATGAAGGCCATCAAGAAGATCTGCATCGGGCTCAGGCTCTTCGCCGCCAAGACCCTCGAGGCTCGCAAGGAAGTCTCTCTGCGGGAGCTGATCCGCCAGCCCGACGAGTCGCTCTTCGAGCAGTTCGAGGAGCACCTCGGGGAGGCCATGGTGAGCGCGATCTGTACCGGCAGCTCGTCTAAGCGGGATGTGTACACCGCCATCTTCGGGCTCGAGGACGAGGCCAAGAGGATTTTTCTGGAGGGCAAGGAGGACCTGCCGCCTGGGTACGCGATCGACGTCAAGACGACGTTCAAGCGCTTTGCGGCCGAGAAGATGCGTCAGTTTGCCAAGGAGAAAGATCAGCGAGTAGACGGCAGGACAACCCGGCAGGTCCGTCCCATCAGCGTCAGGATGTCGCCGCTCGCTCCTGCTGTTCATGGCTCGTCGCTCTTCACCCGAGGTGAGACACAGGCGCTCGCGACGGTGACACTCGGAGACAGCGGGAGCAGGCAGCGATCGGAGGGGTTGGACGGAGAGGAGAGCAAACGCTTCTACCTGCAGTACTCGTTCCCGCCTTCCTCTGTGGGGGAGTGCGGAAGAGTGGGAGCGATAGGGCGGAGAGAGATCGGGCACGGGAACCTTGCTGAGGTAGGAGATGCTCCTTCTTGCTGCTTGCCTCGCTCCTCCTGATCTCCTTGCAGAGAGGTCTCCTCCCAGTCATCCCGAGCGAGGACGACTTTCCCTACACCATCCGCGTAGAGTCTCTCATCACCGAGAGCTGCGGCAGCTCGTCCATGGCCTCAGTGTGCGGGGGCTGCCTCGCCCTCTTCGATGCTGGTGTGCCGCTCAAGCGCCCAGTCGCCGGGGTAGCGATGGGCCTGCTGCTGCCGGAGAACCTCAAGAGAGGAAACGAGGAGAACAAGGAGGCGATCATGAGGAAGATGGAGGAGGAGGCAGTCATCCTGACCGACATCCTCGGCCTCGAGGACTCGCTGGGTACCATGGACTTCAAGGTCTGCGGAGACGCCAAGGGCATCACGGCCTTCCAGCTAGACATCAAGTGCGAGGGCCTCAGCGTCAACCTCCTCAAGTCGGCGCTAGCGCAGGCAAGAGAAGGAAGAGTCCACATGCTCGTCCACATGCTCAAGGCCCAGGCAAAGCCCCGGCCCGAGCTCGCTCCCTCCGTGCCGAAGCTAGTCCGGTTCTCAGTGCCTTTGGTGGCCATCGGGAAGATCATCGGGCCCGGAGGGACAACGATCAGGAGCCTGATCGAGGAATTCAAGCTGACCAACATCGACATTGTCGAGACCAAGTCCGAGGGCGTCGTGACCATCACAGCCCTGAGCTCCGACAACATCGCCAAGGCCGAAGACAAGGTCCGCTTCCTTGCCCAGGAGGCCAACAACTTCTCGCCTTCTTCCACCGCCACCCTGAAAAAGAAGGCGGCGGACCCGGAAGTGGGGAAGGTCTACAAGGACTGCACGATAGGTGACGTCTCCTGCTCGCGCGCGCGTCCTGCTGACTTGCTGCAGTGGGAGTGCATCCCTTCGGCTGCTTCGTGGAGCTGTGGCCGGGGAAGGAGGGGCTGGTGCACGTGTCGGAGCTTGACAAGGAGCGGATCGACAGCGTTGAGTTGCGTTTCAAGATCGGAGAGAAGATGGACGTCAAAGTCCTTGCCCTCCGCGACCAGAAGGGGAAGATCCGCCTCTCGCGCAAGGCTGTGCTGGAGAGTGAGGTGGGAGAGGACGTGCCTGTTGAGACATAAAGATACGACGGATTTTTGCATTGAAAGTGACAAAATGTCCTTCGTTACTCTAACAGCCTGCTCGCCTTGCGGCAACAGCAGCCTCCCCCCCCCCTGATCTCGACGCTGCCGAGTCCTGCTTGTCAAGCATCGTCAAGGAGAAGTGATCAGTTCCCCGTCGCCTCCTGCTCATCGTCTACTCCCATCCTGTACACTGTGTCTTCCCCTTCGGCAGCGACAACTCGGACACCTGGCATGCTACTTCTTCTCCACTTGCCGCGATTCCCTCTCTGCAATGACCTCTGACCGATGTTTTTCCCTGAGAGCTATCACCTGCACCGTCGTCAGGTGACGACCCCCCGAAGCTCCCACCCTATCTCCACTTTCCCTTCATCCTCCTCCTCCTCCTCCTCTCTTACCGTCGTGCGCTTCATCTGGATACCAAAGCTGACCTTGATCAACGAGTCTGCGTCAATGAGCGACTTGCCCAGGTCCTGCATCGCGGCAAACAGCTCGTGCGGCTCGGTGATGCAGAGCAGCTGCTTCTCGTAGAGCTCTCTGCGCCCGGTCAGTCAGACGGGGACAGTGAGAGTAAGGGAACTGCACAAGATTCCGAGGCCGATGCGGAAGATGATCTTGTATCCTTCGAGGAAGATTGAGTCCCACACTCGCAGCATCGTCTCCGTCGGAAGCGTCTTGGCGTAGATGGCGATGAACCACTCGAGACAGAAGAACTCCACTCCTAGACCCGCTTCTTGGAAGTGCTTCCAGAGCTTCGGGAGCCTCTTGGATAACCTACGGCGACATCAACAACCTCGACTCGACCTCCCGGGTCTCACATGTCCCGAAACACGCGCAAGTCTACGTTGCACCCGCTAAGGTCTTGAGCGTAGTAGTCTCCTGCATCACACGGGCATTGATCAACCTTCAACATAAATCTGGTCAACATAATCACCAGGGAGAATGTCTTCGATCAGAACGCAGAGCAGCCAGAAACTGAAAGCAAAACAAACAGGTTCAGTTGTCCAAACACGCATCACTAGGGAGCAGAATGAAACTCACGCCTGATCCTCACGGAGAAACAGAAGCATCAGGCCCGCGATGAAGTTGAGGCCCTGACAGTATCCGACCTAGCACCCCATGAGCGGTCGCGAGCAACGCCAGCAGCAACCGTCACCTGCTTGTTGCGACGAGCGTATGCTCTGAGGACTCTTCGCAGGGAAGGGATCAGGGAGTCAGGAGGAGGATCCGCATCCTTGGGCATCTTGAAGCGAGGGTGGTCGGGGAAGGTGCGGGGGAGGTCAAGTTCTATCTGAGCAAGGGCTTCGTTGGCTTCGGTCGACAGCCCATTCCACGTTGACTCGTCGCTCAGCTGCCTGCCACGAACTACTCAGCAGGAAACAGGCGCAATCAGTCCAAGTACTTGTAAAGCATCGGACAACTGTCTAGCTTGTTTGCAGCCCCTGACAGGTGCATCCAGACGTGCCCTCGTATGCTGCTCGCCAGTCCGTTACGAACCATCTTCTTCAAGTTCTTGCTCTTCATGAAGGTGGAACCGGGAGACTTCTTCATGCTATCAAACGAACGGTAAGGAGCGATACAGACAAGAACGAGTTTTTTACAGCTCATTCCACTTGTCCCGGCGAATGCTCATTTCCCTCTCATACCTGTCGCAGAGGTCACCAAGATGTCAGCTCATGAACCGTACATGTTGAGCAGCTACGATGAAGGGCGTTCAACATGCATCATGTGCGAGGCACTCGATGAGATCATTCAGATGAAGGAGAGGAGTGAACGACCAATCGAAAGTCTACAACAATGATGTGTCGTGTGTGCGGAAGTGATCAACGTGTGCATACTCCGGGCAAATTTTGAACTGGGGAGTTTGTGGCTGAGAGGTCGACAATTCGAGACAAAGGGGGGAGAGAGAAACTTCAGAGAGACAGAGGGGGGG